GATCAAGACTGGCAGAAAAAGCTCACTCATTTCTGTCCTTTATAACGGAAGAGATTCAGGAACAATGGGCTGCTCCATGGAGATCAAAACACGTTTCACTTTTCCTGTTCTCAGGTGCCCTCCCCTGTCACAGACACCAGCAATTTCTGCTACAATAATGAAAATATGGGCCATGGCTGGGGTTGGTGGCTCACTCCTGTAATCCCAGTACTTTGGGAGGCCGAGGCAGGCAGATCATGAGGTCAGAAGATCGAGACCATCCTGGCTAACACAATGAAACACCGTTTCTACTAAAAATACAAAAAATTAGCCAGGCGTAGGGGCATGTACCTGTAGTCCCAACTACTAGGGAGGCTGAAGCAGGGGAATCACTTGAACCCAGGAGGCAGAGGTTGCGGTGAGCTGAGATCGCACCACTGCACTCCAGTGAAACTCCATCTCAAAAAAAAAAAAAAAAAAAAAAAGAAAAGGAAAAGAAAATATGAGCCACATTGCCCTGTCCCGCAAAGGTAGAACTTAACACATCAATGTACCTGGAACACCTCATACTTGATTCTGGCCTCAACTTAGAGTCACATGAAGCACTTCATTACTACAACATGGATGCTTCCCCCAAGAACAATAAACAGAATCCATGGAAAGGGCACAAGTAAAGAGATTTCTGCAAATTGGCCATGGAATCCTAATGAGAAGCCTGGGCTGATAACCACTTAGCTACGCATTGCCTCTCAAGCCTTAATGAGCTTATAAATCACTTGGTAATTTTGACTTCATGCTATGCAATGTGATTCTGCAGGTTTGGAAAGGGTCCATGAATGGGATTTTAAACAAGTCCCCTGTCAATGCTGATGTTGCTCCCCCAGGCTCATTATTAGCATTAGAGAAAGCAGACACAGCACAGGGTCCTTTACACTCAGCACTCTTGTCACAACCAAATACTTCTGATACAAATAAAGACAACACATCTCTGCCAGGCACGGTGGCTCATGCCTGTAATCTCAGCACTTTGGGAGGTCGAGGCAGGCGGATCACATGAGGTTGAGTTTGAGACCAGCCTGACCAACATGGAGAAACCCAGTCTCTACTAAAAATACAAAAAATTAGCCAGATGTGGTGGTGATTGCCTGTAATCCCAGCTACTCGGGAGGCTGAGGAAGGAGAATCACTTTCGCACCAAGAGGGAAACTCTGTCTCTAAATAAACAAAATAAATAAAACCCATCTCCATCCTAAAGTTCATATTCTTTGCTGGTTTATTAAAGTTTACAGAGGAAACACAAGGCAGCAATGTCTGAATAAGCCTGCATT